TTACAACTACTTCTAGTGCTTATAAGGCCAGAAATCTCTTTTGAAGAGCTTTTTGAAATAGTTTAGAAACGTGTTTCCTTCTTGTGTGCAGCTAGATGTACTTTTTTTTAACAAGTAAAGTAGGCCATTCTTGTGTTTTCAACAATAAGTATCGAATAAAGGGCACGATTTCGGGGTGGTTTCTAAATTATAAACTATATGTGTTTAAGGCGAAGTGCCTTTTGGTGTGATTTAAAATACAAGTGGTATTTGACGCCTGTGAAGTCAATTTTCGAGGAGATGCATGAATTAATTGGACCGCAGTGACCTGTCCAGTGTGAATTGTCAGGTTTAAGTCACAATACACTTTTTATTGCTCTAAGAAATATTACCCTGTTTACGGAAAATCAGCGCAAAACTATGAAGGGCCTCGTATGCCATTCTTGACTTAGGTGATCGCTTAGATGCACCTTTTATGGCTTCATCGGTTGTAGTACATTATTCCACCGCAAACCGGGTTTATCAATTTGCTTCTAACATAAGGAAGCTGTTCAGCTCATCGAATCAATAGACCTTTTTTTAGTATGGCATCCTTACGTAGCATATGGCAAAATATTTTGTGAAATTTTCAGATTATCTTTGTCAAAAGAAAATATGCACTAGACCAGGGGCGGAATCGGTCTTTTTTCCAAATCACCAATACTCATGAGCTTAAAATGTATAAAAGGCTGAGATAAGGAATTTACGCAAATAAATAATTAGACATTTAAAGCACTATCGAGAATCAAAAAAACCGCCTGAATTTGTGCAAGAGTGAGAATATTTGAGAATTTCCACATGGGAACTCCACACAAATTCGCATGTGAGCTCAGATGCAACAATAAGTGCACTGATCCCACTGCCTTAACTAATCACGGGAAAGGAAGCAGCAAAAAATATTGTCACGTTAAAACGTGGTCGGAAGCAATTCAGTAAGTCAATCATCTTGAAATAAACGGTTCACGTTGCTCTGAATTCATTAAGTGGGGTATATGAAGACAAGTTAATTCATCAGCGCAGCCAACACTTCTAACACCTTCCATGCGAAAATCTCAAAGCAAGATCGACCATCTCGACCCAGGTGTGATATTGTTCCAGTATGACATCAGTTGTCATCGCTTTGCTGACGACTTTAACGGTTGCTTGAAAACAAAAAACAGATGTAGCCACGCCCAGATCAAAAACCCTGACTCAGCACCTATTGTAGAGTTTTTAACTTAAATAACTCATTTTGTTGCGTTCATGAACGAGCACTTTTGACAGGTATTGTGGATGTGCTAGCAAACTAAACGTTTCAAATTTAAAGTAATCAAATCTACTAGAATAGTGCTAATATCGCATTAAATCAAAGTAGTTAATTGAAGACTGCATGCATTTTCATATAGTTATCATTATATTAAACCAGAGAGAAAAAACGGGCCGTGCCTCAAATGCAAGTAGGTTATATCTACTTATCAGGTCTGCTACTATTAGCACCTCGTAAGTTACTCTTCCATTTTATCATTTGAGCTAGACTTCATAAATAGGCGTCCTGTTTTCTTCACTCCATAATAACTATGCTTCCATTCAGTCATGTGTTACAAGCAGATTGATTGTTTTAAGAGTTAAATTAAAAGTGGGTTAACTTTCTTGGTTCGAGGAGGGCAAGTACATCGGTTTTTTAATTATTCACAAGCACTAGAAGTAGTTGT